GGGGGGGGGGCTTACACAGAAAGCCTTTTTGGCCTATTACCTGGTACACGGTCGGTGCTCAATAAATGTTAGTTCTTCCTCTGATCCCCTCCAACTAAGTGGATCTATCAATTCACCCCCTGATCATGGCCCTCCTCTGTTTAAACCCTACACTCCCGCCTCTGCCTCTCCCCCCCATCCTCATCTTGCACTCTCCCCCTCACTCTGCCCCAGCCACCCAGCCTCTTGCTCTGAGTTACAAAGAAACCAGAAGTTAAGGCAGAACGTGGTACTCCTTGCTTCAAAGCCTGGGCCATAAACAACATAGGGCATGAATTCCTCCGGCCATTATGGAGCACCATCTGAATGCAACTGTGAGAGCGCTACCCACACCCCTCTCATTCGGGCTGCCCAAAAGCCTGAGCAGGCAGGTACTGCTGTTCATCATTCTATGAACACTGGCCTCCTGCTGTGTGCCAGGCTCTGCTCTGGAGGCTGCGGACAGGGATACAGAGTGAATAAGGCATAAAAATTCCTGCCCTGGTGGAACAGACATCTACTGAGGAAGACAGATGATAAATGCAATTACAGGATCAATTTCACTTTTTAGGTGATGAAGTGCACTACAACGAGAAATAAAACAGAAAAGGGGGGAATGGGGTGGGAGGTGCTGCACTGTTAAACGACGTTTGAGTATAAACCTAAAGGAGATGAAAGAAGGAGCCATAGAATGTCAGGGTTGGGGAAGGTGCTAGAGGCAAAGGAACAGCTAGTGGTATATAAGGTTGATGCATCTGAGGGAAAGTAAGGAGGCAGGTGTGGCAGGAGCAAAGTGGGCAAGGGGGAGATGGGAGGAGGTGAGAGCAGAGCGGGGCCTTGTGGGCTGCAGGAAGAACTTGGGCTTTTGGTCTGGGTGAGGTGGGAGCCATGGAGGGTTCTGAGTGAAGAAGAGACATGACCTGACTCAGGAGCTCACAGGTGGAAAAATAGACTTCGAGGACAGGGTGGTGATAGCAGAAGCTGGGAGACCAGGATAGGGACAACTGCTATGGCCGAGGTGGGAGAGACAACCCCCATTTTGTAAGGGAGGAAACTGAGGATCAGAGACAAGTAAAGGATGCAGGGCTTGATTCCAAATCTGGCACCACAGCCATGCCTTCTGTCAACGCTGAGATCCAGCCCTCTCCTTCCCCCACCACATACTCACCTGAGTGAAGCGCACAGCTTTGCACATCTCTTGGGCCACTTCCTGCGGGTCCAGTGGGAGAGACACGTCCTGCCCATGCTGCAGCCCACCTATCCCCACACGCCTGGTTTTCTGCAGGTCCAAGAAGGCCTTCCAGCTGCTGAGAGCAGAAGATGGCACTGGGGAGGCCAGAGACCCTCGGCTCAGAGTTCGGGTCTGATTGGTGACAGCCCAGGGCTGGGGTGGGGGATCCTGGGGTCCAGGTCTCCCCAAGCCTGTGGGTAGCCAGGCTCCACTGAGCAGGCTCAGAACTGTGGTCAGCTGGCTGAGGAGCATCTGTCTGTCTGTGACTGGGCTCAGGGTCCGGGGCAGTTGACCCTGCTGTCTGGTGAGTGGAGTCTGTGCCCACCAGACCCACTTTTAATGTCCTGCCCCCCACCAGGGCAGCTGGGAGGTGCCTCTGCAAACTCCAGAGTAAACCCAGACCTGCTGGTTTCCCACCCCTCCCCCCAGCATTGCAGGGGACCTAGGGGCTGGGGCTGCTGGTGTGCGGGCTGTGGGACCAGGAAAGGCAGGTCTAGAGACAGGGGCTTGGGGCACAATGCCAGAGTCCCTGAGGGCTCTGTACCTGGTTCAGTCCCCATTCATCCATTTAGCAAAGCCAGACTTTGGAGTTAAGCTATTCAGGTTTCAATCCCCACATTGCAACTTCCTGGCTGTGCAACCTTGGTCAAGTTCCTTAACCACTCTGGGCCTTGGCTTCCTCTTCTGAAATATGGAGATAATAACAGTCCCTACCTGGTAGAGTTGTTCTGAGGACTGAAGGAGATAATTATGCAAGGAGTTTAAAACGGTAGCTGGTACACAGTGGCACGAGTAAGCTATGATTAACATTATTGCTGTTGGTTTTCCTTTAACAACCTGTTAGAGGTCAAGCATAATTCTGAGCCCTGGGGATACAGGTGGACAAAACAGAAAATGGATCCTCCCTGCTTTACGTTGTAGTGCAGAAAGCAGACAATACAAGATAAGATGATTTCAGAGTCCTAAATATTAAGAAGATATTAAAAAGGGCTGTGCCTTACACGTGTCTTGAGGGGGGAAGGGGCTTCTGCCCCCAGGGTGGTCACGGAAGGCCTCCTTGAGGAGGTGACATTTTTGCAGAGCCCTGAGATAGTGTCCCAGGCAAAACAAACAGCCTGGTGGGGAGTGGAAGTTGGAGTGCTTGTAGCACATAGGGGTGCAAGTCCCAGGCTTTGGGGCCCCGAGAGCGGCGGGAGGTCCAGGCCGGGCCTTAGCACCTCTGCAGCCCCCATCTCGCACCCAGGTGAGGCACTGCAGGCCGCGGGGCCGTGGGAAGCCGCAAGGCGGGTCCTTCCCGCGCCCCGCGGGCCGCGCAGGAGATGGGGCCGCATCGCCCTCTGGCGGCGGCTCTCGAGTCTGCGGGCCCGGCTATCGGGACTTGCCTCCTGCTGCATCACAGCTTCTGAGAGGTCCCCAACCTATCCTACCGCTGTCCTCCAGACCCAGCTAACGGCAGCTCCATCCTGCCAGGAGCTAAGGCCCCAAATTTTGGAGCATCCTTGATCCCTCACTTTCTCTGACCTCCCTCCTCCCCAATCTGATACGACATCAACTCCTGTCTGCTTCAAAATATACCCAGAATCCACACACTTCTCACTCCCTCCTCGGTCCCCTACCTGGACACAGCCCCTATTATCTCCCTCCTGGACCAGTATAGTCCCCTCCACCCTGGCCCCCCAGCTCCCACACCCAAAGTCTGTTCCCCCCACAGCAGCCAGAGGATGCCCTGAGTCCAGCACGTTCCTCTCCTGTTCAGAACCCTCCATGGCTCCCACATCACCCCGAGCAACAGCCAAAGTCCTCACTGCAGCCCACCAGGGCTCGCACTGTCTGCTCACATAACCTCCCCACCCTGACCTGCCCCTATTCTCCCCCCTCAAGCCACACGGGCCTCCTCGCTGTTTCCCCACTAACCAGACATGAGCCCATAATACTGCACATCTGTAGAGGGTGGCACATGCTATTGTAGTTTCAACACAGAAAGATACCCAAGAAAAATGAAGTTTAAAAATCTTCAGAACAGGGTGTCTATTATGCCCTGAACTTTGGGGGGAGGGGGTAAGAATTTACAGCTACAGTTCACTTGTATTTGAATACTGAAAAAAGCAGCAGGATTTTCCTGTTGGAGAGGGACATGAAAATGAGTGGATGAGTGCTGAGGGACAAGCTTCATTTTAGAGTTTAAAAATTCTTTTAACCATCCAAAAGAAACTTTAAAAAAGGCACAAATGAAAGCAATTTATACCTTTATTCAGCCCCTTGCTCTTTAAAAAAAAAAAAATTGTCATTGGTTTTAGAGGTAGAGAGAAACATCAATTTGTTGTTCCACTTATTTATATATTCATTGGTTCCTTCCTGTATGTGCCCTGACCAGAGATTGAACCCGCAATCCTGGCTTATCGGGAGGATACTCTAACCAACTGAGCTACCCAGCCAGGGCTGCCCCTTGCTCTTTTAAGTATTTTGGGCATCCAAATAAGTGTAGACAAAAATATAACAAAAAGCCCTGGCCCGTGTGGCTCAGTTGGTTAGAGTGTTGCCCAGTGCACTGAAGGGTCATAGGTTCGATTCCTGGTTGGGGACTTGCCTGGGTTTCAGGTTCCATCCCCAGTCAGGGCATGTACGGGAGGTAAGGGATCAATGTTTCTCTCTCACATCAATGTTTCTCTTTTTCCCTTTCTCCCCCTCCCCCTTTAGAATCAACGAAGAACATGTCCTAAGGGAGGATTTATATTATATACCTATAATGAAAAATAACAAAATCTGCTGTACTCATTACCCCAATTAATAAATAAAAGATTACAGCCCAGCCAGGCATGGCTCAGCAGATGAGCATCGACCTAGGATCCAGGGGATCGAGGTTCGATTCCTGGTCAGGGCACATGCTCGGGTTGTGGGTTCGATCCCCAGTCGGGGGTGTGCAGGAGGCAGCTGATCAATGACGATGTCTCATCATTGATATTTGTATCTCTCTCTCCCTCTCCCTTCCTCTCTCTGAAATCAGTAAAGATACATTAAAAAGGAGG